ACAAAGCATTTGACGTAGTTCATTTGAGACCTGTTCCTTTTTGGTAAGTAGTCGGGCCAGATAGGGTACAGGGGAATTTTTATAAATGTTATTGCGAGAGGGTAGCTGTCGAAATGAGGAGCGTGTGGATGGATGGGAACGACAAGACCAAAGATCAGGGTGTAGTGGATGAAGAGGGTAATCTAGAATCTTGTGAGCACATTTAAGAGAAGAGTTGATGGGACCATCAATGAGATCTGTGATTAATAAATCAATTCGAATTAGTGATGCACGAATTGTTTTGAAGTCGTGTTTTAAAAGACCGGGAAACACTCCAGGAGAGCAATAAAGTAGAATGGGTAAAACGCATTGATGAAAGAAAGATGACAGGACTGATTGTGAGGTTCGGAATTGTCTGAGTTTGCGTAACTGAAAAGATAGCCGTATCCGTTTTTCCGCACAGTTGTAAATATGTGTAGACCAATGAACATTGCTGTCGATGGTGACACCCAGGTACTTCACTAAGGTCATTCTAGATACAGGTTTATCGTTAAGAATAGCAGAGTCCGTTGGAAATGAGGAGCGGGAAAGACTGAAAATACACTCTACGCTCTTTGATATATTAAGACTGAGACCATATTGGTCAGAAAACTGGTAAATGTGAGATAGGTTTTCAGTAAAAAAATGAAAGTCCGAGGGAGATGAAATTGTCTGAGACAAAACTACATCATCAGCATACTTTTGGATGTGCGCAGAGGGGTGGGACAGAAATATCATTAATAAAGGCAGAAAAAAGATATGGAGATAGAACAGCACCTTGAAGAACACCAGAATTATTAACAAGAGGTTTTGATGCCTTCCTTCCTAATTCGGTGCACTGAACCCTATGTGTAAATAGTCGGCAAGCCATGAGAGCAGCTTTTTTGGAGTGCCAAACGATTCAAGTTTGAAAAGAAGGGATGATTGGGGAACAGAATCAAACGCAGACGAATGGTCAAGAAAAACATAACGGACAGACTTGAACGAATGGTTCAATGACTTGCTGATAAAATGCACTAGATTGGATACGGCATCCAATGTAGATCTGTTTGGTTTATATGCAAACTGAAAGGGGTCATGGGGAATTGTGGTGTCTGACTGCAACCGACTCAGGATGGCTTTTTCAGTTACCTTTAGAGCCGCTGAGGTCAACGCAACAGGACGAAACCGTTTCGCAAGAATATTTGAGGACGTGGATTTGGGGATTTGAATAATAGTCACTGGACGCCGCGAAATGAGGAATCGACCGGGAAGATAGGAACTCATTGACAATGGATGTCATCATATTGGTTAGGGAAGCTGCTCCAAATTTCAGAAGTGCCGGAGGAAGACCATCAAGGCCTGCAGCTGAGGATGCTTTGCAGGATCGAAGAAGCTTAAAGATTAAATCATTGGAAAAAGGCACTGAACGAGGGTTTCATTGCATAGGAATGAGGGAATATGGCTCTCGTTTGACGGGTGGATGAAAGCGGTATTGAGGCTGTTGACATCCACAGAGGTATTAGAACGTTTTCTGTTCTACCCACGGAGGAGGCCATAAGAGCCTGGTGTTCTTCGTTCGCAGAATTTGGGCGGCGAAGATTGCATTGAGGTACGTTATCTCAGACCTGATTAACTCAGAATGGTGCTTTACAAGTGAGGCAAGACGAGATTTGTAGGCCAGTTCTTTGTACCTTCTCAGTGATTTCAAAAAGGGCGAGGTGATTCTGCCGTTACAGACAAACAAGGTTTTCATTGGGCAGCACAAGTTAAAGATTAATTTAATCGTGTTAGTGAACAGATTGATAGATTTAAAAAGCGAAGGACAAGAACCAACCCAAGACTGAACAATCACAATAGAACGGTTGAGAAGCGAGATACGGTTGGGTGAAAAGTCCCTTAGGTGAAATTTTATCTGAGTAGAACGTGTGAATGCTTGATAAGAAATGCGAGAGTATAACTTAGGTCATACACTACCCCGCTGCCAAAGGTTCCGGTTGTGAATTCCTCACCCGCCTTGGCTTGCGCAACCTGGTAGTATCCAGCCTACATGCAAATTGTAGAAAGTTTTACTTTTTTATATAAAGATTGTACCGAAAACAAAAAAGGGTTGACAATGTCGTATGATATTTACAGAAAATATCCCCTACCCCCGACTTACCTTGTTATTTTTCTGTAACTGTTTTGTTATTCGAGAGAATAATTGGCGTCGAGATCGTCCATGGCACATGATTAGGAAATCGTCAAAACGCTTCTGAAGCCTAGAACAGAGATTAGAAGAACATAGTTTCAATTTCTTGTCTACAAACGGCAAATATCATAATGATTTATGGGTAGATATTGAATATGATCGAGGTAATTCTTCCGGTGAAGCTTACTCTAGTCATCAAAATCTTAAAAAAGCAAAATCCACGTGCTTGGTGGAATAAGCGAACAGCAAGTAACTGATCTTCAGTGTCCACAGTCACACAACAGAATCTTCGTTAGTTTATGAACGTGACCACTGAAAACTCTGCACATTACTGCTACAGTTTTATCTATTCCTACTAGTAATACTATCACTGGTGTTGGTGTTGGTGGTGATAGTGGTTAAACGTCAGCTCGTTTGAGCGAGATTGGGACATTACCCAACGAATAACTCGCCAATGGTAAATCTTGTTTACCGCTTGCTCGTTTCCAGGTGTCCCATTCTAGTAAACAGGAGGCCCTACGGCTGTTTTGATAAGTCACAGGCAGCTAATAATTTATCTATAATTGAAGGTCAACTTCGGTTTCACACATGGCAAAACAGAGGCGTACGAACGAGGTTCACAAGATTCAAGTCACGATGTTCACTAACGTGGAAATCGAATGCCGCGCACAATACAGCGCGAATCAACTAGAGCCACTTCGTTTGGCTGGATTAGGATTTGGCGAAACGGAGACTTTGACTTTCAATCCGTAACTTGTGACTATTGCCTGTGCAAATCACGTATGAATTGCAAACCTCTAATACGTCCATTTCATCCCCGGGTTCCTTATTCCCTATTAAAAAGCAATGATTAAAAAATGTTGCATACTGGAAGCCAAAAAGCGAGGGTGTTCTTGGAGCGGAGATTTTTCATGCTTCGGTAGACCTCAGTGTGAAGGACAGGATGCTTATCCGCGGAAAATTGGACCAATGGTTCATTTTGTTCAAGAACAAGCATACGCATTATCCGTTAAGTTTTGGCGTTCATCACGAGTATTGTAAGCAACAATGAAAATAGGATAACACAGTGATTGATTGAAGTTGGCTAAAATTTTCAAGAATGTTTTCGCGCCAGCAGTCATTTATAAGAGATGCTATCTGAAAGTGCAAATTCACGAGGTGCTTTATACCATCATTCAATTGCATCAAGTTCATTCGGCCCATTAGCCTGAACCACACACGATCGATAGTACTTTATCTCCGGATGATCAGCTGATGTGCTCGCGGTCTTTTCTGCGCTATCTTCTTTCCGCTTTCAAACTACAATTCATTCACAAGATGTTAGGAAATTTCGATTTTTCATGTTGGAAAATCAGTTTTCTGTTTCTCTAAAAAAAACATCTAATTGGGATTAGGTTGGTTTAAACAGGTTCAATGCACTTCTTATTTTCACACAATACCCCACTAAACAAACCCCGTAAATTTCTACTAATTTAAAACCGTCATGCTGGTTGCTTATTGTTGGACGGATTGATGCGTGCACAACGCGAATTTTAAACCTTTTTTTTTTCTCCGATTGAAAGCTGACCATTTGCGGCTTCGTCAAACATGTTCCTGTTGGAACAAAACCCCTTGTACTACTGCCTACAGGTTTTACACTCCACACATTCTGTCTAGTCAGCGAGGGTTGCCAAACGCTTACCTGAATCAGACTGTAGCAGTTCGGAACACTTCCGGATTTGTTTTACAGCACAGATAAGCGAAACCAATTGTTCGAATCAAATGACTGTCTGCCAGTTGTCTGATTCATATTGTCCTAACATTGTGCTACCGTTTTTCACAACCCCGTGTGTGTGGGTGAGTGACTGAGTGAAGCATTAACCGGTAACTTTGTATCCGGTCAATGGTTGTGGCACCTAGGACCACAGTTCACTAAGCGTAGTTTGCGGTTTGATATATATACAAATATATGAAAAACTTTGACTTCATTTCAGAGAAATTTTGATTTAGCTTCCACTGACACACGTTATTGGAAAAACGACGTGGGAAAAAGTTCGTTTATTCCACTGTCTGGCGAATTGAATCGAGCCACACACATAGTACACACACTCCACTGCGTAGTGACGCAAGCTTTTCAAGTTAACTAATCGAATCGAGCATCATTTGGTAGAGTCGCCTGTACTGACTTGCATCTCTCACTAAATACTTTTCGGCAATACAAGGCTGAATTACTTCAACCCCCACGCCGTTCACCCCTCCTTGAACAGTTGACGAGAGAGAGAGATCAGAACCGTGACGTGGTAGCCGAAATTTGATTGTCTAAATATCGTTTTCCCCGACACTGTTGGCGTTCTCAAGTTGTCGTGTTGACAGTGATAGGATTTTCATCTGCATTGTGATCAAAATCAAATCCTCCACTACTGTCCCGTAAGACGCGATCAAACGGGAGTTTTTCTAACTGATTCATAACCCTAAAGTGCCGAAGTGTCGAAACATACAAGATGTGATGCATGCATTGAGTTTCTAAATTAATAACAAAAAATAAATCACCATTTGATTGTTCCAGTATCCTTCAGGGGTGAGCGAATCTGCATGATATGTAGATATCGTTCCACAAACAAAACTCATTCTCCCAAACCATCTAATCATCTAATCCCATAGAATTCAGCCACGTGACACAGCATCCTCGATTCTTCCGTTTTCTTTTTTGCTTGACTTCGTTAGCCTCGCTGATTGTGTCAATTCAATACGTTTTTGCATACCGATAATCGATAAAAAGGAACATCATAATCGCTCACCTTCGAAGCATCCTCTCTTCACCACCTTTTGTGGACGCTTCGAGGAAAATGGACGGTACCAATTGGGTGGGATCGTCAAGCTGAAAATAATAACAACAACAATATGGACAGAGACAGATTCGATTCGGGAATCTTTCAGCAACTATTGACTCAGGTGGATGGGTGCTGAGCTGCTAAAATAATGGGGATACAAATTGAACATAGATACTGAACCCTTGATGTGGTGGTGAGGTAGATACATGCGCCACCGGGGGAACTTGACCGACATTGGACAAAAAACTGTCAGAACAAACAGGAATAAAGTGGTTATTTGGACCAGCTAAACTTTACTGTTTGTTTTTATTGTATTCTTCATCTGGCATACGATCCCAGGCTCATATGAAACTCCGAAATGTAGTATGTATAAATGACTCGACAAAGTTTCCCTAGAAGCAAACGACCGATTTCGCGGTTCTTAGCTCTCGTAACGCATCCGTATGCGATAATCTTTTATTACTCCATTCATCTACTTGTACCCGGTGTTGCAAACGAAGCCCTTGTGATGAAAATACACTTTTTTGGTACAAGTGCATAGGTGAAGCGACAAAAGATTATGCATACTTGACGAGCGGCAAGAACCGTGAAACCAGTCACGTGCATCCAGGGAAGTTTATTCGAGTCAGTCGTACAGTACTTATTGTAATACTATCCCATAAATACGAGTAAGTCGCGTTTTGAGTGCCTAGTAGCATCTAATCCGCACACGAATATTCGAATCATAGTATTGACTCGTAAGTGGACGGGTTCTGAAGGAGCTGTCCAAATAAATCTACGCGCTGTTGCAAATGAGGTTATCGCAACGCAGATCGGAGAGGCATTCTCATGAGATGTATCTACTCTACAAAATTTCTCAAAGTAGTGATCGAAAACAGCCAGGTGGATGGAGAACCTTTTGTGTCATAAATTATTTTAAGTATCGTGCAGTGTTCCACATTCTGGTTTGAGTGGTATTCACGTCAACTAGGATATTATTGTACTTGCAAAAATGTGTGCAAGGAATGGTTACGAGCAAATGGATACACGTGCGAGGAGCAACTTGTTCCCGTGAACTTCAATCATACATTGACCGGATCCAAATCAGATCATTTGCATTCGGTTCCACAACAGAAATGCAGTTAGTGGATGATGCAATCATTGTTTAACCGGAGCTATTTGAAACGATGCGACATTCTATTGCGTAGTGGCTTACATAAACCTGGAAAGGCATAACCCTTTTCTGGCCTGGACTATGCATCTTCGGAAATTTACNACGGCATGTGGCGGGTAGGACAACAGATTTTGAAATGATAAGCGGAAAATCACTGAGTGGAAAGCTTGAACTTGTCGTTGAACCAACTACTAGCACAATCTACTTCCCTATGCTTGTTTGTGTGTGTGTGTTCGGACTCACTTTCCACACATGAGGATTCGTATTGCTGACCACTTGATACCATTGATTTGCCCGCATATTGACGGTTCCCTGCACAAAATAAGAACGAAAAAGTCGGTCTGAATTGCTACATAAAACTGTGAGAACCCGGACAGCGCTAATTTTAAATAGCATGCATCAAAGTAGGCAAATGGTACGAGACTGTGTTCATTGATGCGCGCTACAACAAATCTGTAGCGATTACTGCATGGGATAATTTTCTTCAAAACTTGGTTTTAATCTTTTTGGTTCATAAGGAAGCGTGGGGTGTGGATTTTGTCCACCTTACTTATAATCAATCTCTTTCACCGTCTTTCCTGCGGTAGAATGTCGGTGTTGACATAATCATAAACCGTTTTTGCTCTACACCGTCGCACATGTTGTGCGATTGAAATATCCTTGTTTTCGTAGTATTGATTTGCTATCAAATTCAAATTTTCATTGATTTTTATCACGATAATCTCATATCGAACTACGATCTACCGGTTGCCTTTCACCGTTTTCAATTCTATACTGTCTTCTTTCTGAAAATCAAGCCATCTTCAACTCCTGTTTCCATGTAGTCATATACGTTTGTTCTGAGACTCTTGTCCCAGGCTATCTTGATCCCTATGCGTTTCCGTAAGCATCTTTGTCCCCATTCTGAAAGGGTTAGAAGTTTACGTTGATTCTCCACCCACCTCTTGTGTACTATGGGCTTTTTGAGCTTTCGTCTCATCTTACGCTACCACATCCAGCGTTCTGGAATTCGTTCACCCGTTCTACCTGCTAATCTGCAATCATTGGCACATATTATGTGACTGGGAAACAACACGAGAGGACAGGAAAATCATCGCTTTAGTATATGATAAATGGAAGCTAATGGATGTATGATTCAATATTGATCACACAATTAGTGACAACCCCTTGCTGTGTGAGGAAATTCAGGCACACGACCACATAAGGGTGATGGATTTCATAAACTGTTTCTATGCGCATGGTGCGGTTTCTTTATCCCAATCTCTATCACCTATGCTGTATATGAGAATCGGGACTTAACATTTATAGATTGACCACCCCCTCTCTTCGTGGAATAGGTTAGACAGAACGATACTCAAACCATCCCAAACTGTGTAAACAGCGTGAATGGTTTATCATTCTGGCGCTACCTTGGTAACAAATGTGTTTTGTTGAGCAATTTTGACCGCGATCTTTCTCCGCCCATGATTCTGTTATTTACTGACCATGATTGATCAGGTAGACTGCAGTATGCACGTGTACAGATGAGGTGAAATGATTCAGGATACCTTGTGCAGACCAGTGTTCTTGGCTTTTTATTCAAGAACGATTCCAGCACATTCACAGTTCAATTCGTTTCGACTAGACCCGTAGCAACCGCATTGCACTTGCTCTTTGTGTTGCCCGACTGAACCAAGCTAAGTTGTGTGCTCTAATTCGATTGGCGTAGCCCAATACGTCAAATCCTATTGTACAAATACTTCTCAGTATGATTGATCAAGGGTGGGTGTTTCGGGTTGCGGCTGGACCAAAAACTCAGATTCGAAACCAACCAAGAGGAGGCGGACAAATCACACACGCATCCTGATTGTGGCGGTGGTCACCAGCTCGATTGGGCATGGATGTGTGTTTTGGGCAACTTGGATACTTGACTCCGTCTAAAGGGTATATTATCCGAAGAACTGAACACCGGCCCTCAATAGATTGCAGTTTTTCACCACCTTGCTTCCTTGTAAATCAGGCTCCATGTTTGTTGCATGTCAAGTTTTCTGAGCATCATTCCAAGATGTCTGCGCATTATTTCATCTTGAAAGTAGCCGTACGGGTTTCTCTTTCCGTGTGTGTGTGTGTGTTCCTCCCTTTCCCGCTGGTATCAATGAACCATGCGCGATCAACGCTTGAGCCATTGCTTAACTCTGTAGCATGATGCTGCAATGGAATTCATATGCTACACCCCAAGTGGGACACCAATCGATCATGCTCGATCGATAGAACCATCCGTGTTGACCAGAATCACATCCAGGCTGTTGGATACTTTCAGGTCTTATTCCATTCCACAGAAGCACCTTCAAGTAACGAACAATTCAAATGAACATTTTGGCCATATATCCGGATTGGAATGAGAAATAATAGAAATAATGCGACGACGGCAGTCGAAATATACCGCGAATTTTATGATATTTACGGGATTTTACAACAAGTTATAATGTCGACAGTTGCAATATTTTCAAAAATGCACTTTTCTTATTTTTTACTCTGAAGTTGATAATCTTTATCGTTCAAATCATATAGTCTTACTTAAACACTTCCACTACACAAAATAAACCGGGTGAGTTCAGGTTAACGAGTGACATTCACAAAAATTAAATGCAAACTGGCTTCGAAAGATCGTATTGCTAACTAAAGATAGCAGGATACCTGTTGGTATGCATGCATTATCGAGATAACCCCGCTTCTCGATTCACTTGCTCAGACAACTTGAAATGATACACGGACATTTTGAAATGCTATTAGGACAACTTGAATTGCAAAAGGTTCAGTAAGCTGAAGGCTCCAGCTGTGAAATCCCCCAAGAAAGTTCACCTGCTTTGGCCTGGAAAACCTAGTGGTTTTCCGCCCAAATGCAAATCAAGAACCTTGTATCTTTAATGAAGATTATTGTACCGTGATTTGTTTGGCATACAGTCTGGACCTTTTACCTGTGTTGTTTACCTAAATTACAAAATGTCCTGTAGTAAACCCGAACTTGTAACAGTTCCAATAGACCCACAGATTTCAAACACGACGCCGACCGTGAATCCAGCCAACTTGGAACTCACCTTGCGTGAGCAGTAGTCCACAATGGCTCGGACAGCAAATGGGTCCATCTTCTGTTCCGGCCGAACCCGATGATAGACTGATCCCAAATGCCGGAGAAGTTGATCGCACAGTTTAAGCGCTTTCAGATGGTCTGATAGGGTTCCAATAAAATTCTGTTCTGACACATGATGAATTTGAGAGAAAGAAACGAGAGAGAAATCGATATATGCATTCAAGGTTGATCTGTGTGCAATTAACTGCAAACCCCAAAAGTTAACCAACTTCGTGAAAAGCTGTCGAGAAGGATACACTGAAAGGATACGGTAACCTGGTTGATTTTGCGGAAACTTAAACGAATAAAGATGAGAAATGCTCGCAACAGTCAACGCACTGTTGTGGTTTCCCAAAGGATCTCGTGGTGCGACATGTTCTGCCCTGCAAGGGCAAGTTTCTGCCCCACTTATCGGATGAAAAATAAGACACAATCCACCGCTTATTTCGAAATGAGAGGAGACATTTCGTCTCAACGCTTTGACACCCAAACAAGTGAAAACAAGGAATTGTGAGTTAAATGGGAATTATCAATCCATCCTTGTAGGTACGTTGGTTAATCAGTGAGTAACAGGCATGGAAGTCCTGACTTGGTGGGAGGCTTTCGATTGGAGTTAACAGATTGTCATCTGTGTCTCCCTTTGTTGCTGTCGGGCCAGATAAGCTGACTGACTAACATTGAAGATGACACCTGAACAAACATGAATCGGCAATTTGGTTCAGTCATGGTATGAGCTGGTTGGCACAGTGGTGACACACACGCGTTCCATGCGATGGGTCTGAAGTTCAAATCCCGGACGGGACGGTGGATATGCACTACTGATTAGCTCTAATAAGAGCAAAACTCGACTCTAGTGGCTCCAAGTGTATGGTTGAATTGGTGAACTGAGCATTGTGTGTAAAGGTGAAGTTCGAAAGATAGTCAGTTCAAGTCAATGAATATCAGCTATCCCACATCACTACTCACAAGTAACTGTGAATCAAATGCAAAGTAAACGAATTGTTGTGCATTCTCAAATACCTCCGTGGTGGAACATATTCTGTCCCACTGATCCGATGGAATATAAGATACAATCCACCGCTTATGTTGAAGTGAAGAGAGACTTCGTCTCAGTGCTCTGAGACCTAACCAAGTGGAAACAGCTTTTCACTTTGCGGTCTCCGACCTTTCCAATTCAAGCTACCTTTCCCTTGCATACGAGGAAAGTACTCTAGTGTTCCGCAAAACTCAAAAGATTTTGTTTTCGGCTTTTCTTTTGACTCAGTCAATATTTGTTCATTCAGCCTCCTCCTTCCGTTCAGCCCCAGCAGGCTTCATTTAAGTAAGCGGTGATGTGTACAGGACAGTCGATGAAAACCGGTAACCGGAAGAGATGAACCAAGAAAAATGTAAACTGAAATACTATGTACAAACACCACGCTTCATCTCTTTGCACTTGGTTTGAGGTGTGTATGTGTGTGTGAGTGAATGCGTGCTACTTGCTTAAATTACACAATCCGACACGCTTCACGCAATGTTTGCCATTGTCTATCCCCGAAATGACTATTCGCTGACCTCGCGGCGCATGCGTGAACGCGCCAAGTCTTCGATCAATACAGACAAATTGGTTGAGACGACATGAGTGCCTGCCCGTCTGCCTGCCAGCCTGACTTGTGCACTGACTGCTGACTGATTGACTGTCTGACTGACAATCGGCCAGTAATCTGCTTTGTTCTCCACCACAGTGCGCCGGAATGCGGGCTGGATTGAACGAGACCACGAGGTCGTGAAAGGTCAGCTAAAGCGGTGGCTGATACTCGTGATTCATTACTTGTCCAGTTGCCTCGTGGTGTTTTGTTTTCAGACTGCAAAAGTGATCGGCAAAATTGATTTTGCATGATCCGATTTCGTGTGCATTTGAGGCTAAAAATCATTGGTTTTTAGTAGTAGTAGTAGTAGTAGCAGTAATAGTATCAGTAGTAGTAGTGTTGGTGGTGGTGGTAGTAGTCCTGGACTAGGACAAAACCGTCGCTTCATCGTTGGAACGTGTTCACTTCATGCCAATCTGTGAAGTTGAAATCAACTGGGTGTAACTGACCCAGGGAGAAGCAGATCATATCCCGAGTGTGATACAGTTTGATAATCGCACACTGTACGATCCAAACGGTTTGAGCATTTTGGTTCTGCTCAATATCAGGCATATAGTAAACAGCCATTGAGATTTATCTGAAGCCACGACTCGGTCGATCAATCAGATGGGAAATATGCAAATCAACACTAAAAAAGGACAACATGGATGATGATGGAACAAAGTACCATTCCAATACCTCACTGGCTCACTCAAATACGAGACAACACAGAGTGCCAGTGAAATGTTTGCTGTGACATTAGGATGCTATGTTTATCGGCTTAGATTTACGAATGGGAAACTGCGACCAGGGTTACCAGTTTGGGCTGTCTGAAGCGTTATCTGATCTGCTAAATTTGAGTTTGACCAAGTGAAATTTGAAAAGAAAAATTTCGATGAATTGTCGGCAACTCAATATGATCTCACCAAGTTATCTGGCCATTACCCTCAACACGTACCAGATTTACTGGCTATTTATATATGCCTGTGGGAGGGCTGGTATTGAAGTCTTAATCACGATTCTTCAAAGCAGCTACATTAAAACACGCCTATGTCGACAGGTTAAAATAAAAACCCGTGAATATTTTTTATGTTCACTGACACTTTCGTGTTGTTTCGTATTTACAGTCAACACCAATTTTCTTCACAACTCGCCCAGACTGGGGTCATTGTTCTCTGAACTTGGCAGTTTATCTGCAAGTGTGTTCCATCATCAGCCGTAATGTCATCTTCAGTACTTGCGGGTACTCTGGTTTTCCAGGGGCAATTCGTCTCGTTACATGGGCTCTTTCATGATGTTTTGGTTCCCATTTCTCATTCTTTTCAACTCACTTCGCCGTTGAACCTAACCGCATCATGACCGCACTATCGTTCTTCCGTCTTACACTGGAAGAACGCGAGATCTGTCAAAGTGTACTGAACGACTCGCAAATGGAACAGTTCACGAAGCTCAAACAATTTGACTTATCGAAAATGTCAGAGAAAACTGGCACTGTGAAGAAAATCGAGCACGTTCGATTTGTATACACGAATCGATAAAAATGATACCCGGACTCCCAATCTGTCCAACCGCGTGCTCGCATACGGGATCAAAGCAAGTCATCATTCAAGGACTGCGGAAGCAATACTTGACAAACTAAAACAAACTCTCTAATTGTCCGTGACATCTGGGACGAAATGAAGAATCTAGGTCGACCACGAACTGCCTTTAAATAATTCGTTCAAAACCAAAGAGGAATGCGTTGGAGAGAAAAAAGTTGGAGTCAGCTTTAAAATTAAAGTCGAAAGCAATAAAAATAGGAAATTAAAATTATTCGTCTCCACAGAAACGATGCAACCAAAACTGATAGACACGGAACAACGCGTCTATCCACCAGCACGAAGAGGTCACCTGGACTGGTGATGAAACATAAATCTTTCATTCAAAGACGATGTTGCCACTGAAAGGGTCAGTAGAGTTTTATCCGCAGCAATGAAATTCACATTTAATATCGCTCAGCTCATGCGTGTTCTGTACGTCACCAAACATCCAAGGCTGCAACAAAGATTAACTGCCTATGTTGGCCTCATCTACGATTGTCTACGAATTCAAGTGCACCTGTGGTGCAACTCACGTAGGTCGAACGACAAGGCAGATCAAAGAACACAATTCACACCGACTCACACATAGTGTAAGAGTGGAGCTGTGTTAAGCTCGATTGTTACTCATCTGGTAGAGACGAGATACTTGGTTGACATGCACTCGGCATTTACAATCATTTATCGAGTCTCACCACAACTCTCGAAAGCAATAGGGTTTCGAACGTTAGCAACCGTAGAGGGGATTACAATCCGGCTCATGAAGCCTGAGCTTTGCACACAACGCAAATGTATTCACGTTCTCAACCCACCCCCGCATGGCCAAGGGAAGAGAAAACGCTTGTTCACATGCTTATGACGTAACGTAGCGATCCAAACATATGACTCGTTTATCATCCTGTTTGATCCTAGTGAAATTGTTTCCCATAAATGGGATTGTAGAGGCTTGAAAAGGAATTCACCGAAAACTTATGTTTGCATACACTGTGTGTTCTTAATCGATAGGTATATTTCGTGATATGTAGAGAAATTTCAATCCCAGTGAACGGGCAAAATGGAATGGTCTTTCTTGCTGGATGGACCACGTATACTACTGAAAAACTGTGAACGCTCGGATGAACTGGTTCACTGGAGTGGGAGGAGGTGGGGCATGGAAAGGGCAGTTCAAGTTTATACTGAGCTGAACACATCAATCTACTGGACTGATCCGAATGACGGATGACACGTGGAACTCATACTCTCACATTCGAATTTCAAGATATCATCGAGCTTTTGCACAACAAAGAAATTCCAGTTTTACAACTTGTTGTTCATTAATTAGTCGTCATTTGACAAACCAGATCTAATCAATCACTGAGATCTTTCAACGCAATTCATAAATTGCATGACAATCATGGAGAGTTCGATTCAATATCAAAGAGGGCAATCGCCGCGTAAAATGAGCGAGACGCGAGGCCCGCGACAAGCTCGCCAAGATGGGCCGGACTATATCGCGTAAATGGAAAATGACAAACGGTTTGATCAAGTGCCCCAGGGAGGCCGAGTGGGCTGTGTGCTTGCGTTCTACCTGTGGGTTCGCGATTCCCAGTTGTCTGGATGGATTCGTGCAGTGCACGGACGAGATGCAACCGGGTCGAAACAGCTGTACAGCTGTGCTTCCGAGCTTTCCAAATTACGTTTCATTTGTTCTCTGTAGGCGACGAATTCAGAAATTCTTTCAAGATAAAAGACAGCTCCATTTGTTTCCGTTTTTCTTATTTTCCAGGCACACAGTATTGTTATCATGATATTGTGAAACAGTGGTCGACATAACCAATCTGATAGCACACATGTACAGTAAAGTAAATGTGGTTTAGCACTTGGAAGTGTTATCGTGTACATCACCAAACTTGGACAGATAAGGATAACTTTTTAACCTAAATCATGGTATACATGTAAATCAATCGATATAACCAAGATGATGTACCTATGTGCATTCAAATCTCCCTTTGTATCCGTGGTTACGAATTTCTTTACGAATACAATGCACTGTACAACGGTACCTTATCATGTTCTGTATACTTTATGATGAGATCTAGTCGACTGACTAGATTTCTTACAACTATAATTACCGCAATACATTCGTTTTGTCGTCATATGACACAATGATGGTAGCTTGTCGCGTAGTGCATCTGGAACATGAACCAGTAAACCACAAAATACCGCTGGGAAAACTGCACACAATTCGGGGACTTGTACTGGGGTGAATAGAAGAATTGGCTCTTCGACAACGCACCACGGCAGTTTGGGTTTCTGAGTCACTATCTGATCCTAGCAGTGTAGACCGAGCAGTTCCGCAGGGATCTGCGATGGCTTGCACAATTTTCAAGGTTTCATAAGCAACCTAACGAACAAAATGTTATTGTTTGCAGACGATGCAAAAATATGGAAAACAGTGACAAAACCTGAGGACTACTCACTCGCAATTCAGGGAACATATAATGCTGCTTATCAATGATCGACAGAAAACGGCTTCGAATCTAATGCATCGAAATGTGTGGTCGTATTCCTTCGCCATAACACTCGGTTTCCGTACTTCCTCGGATACCAAGGACTTCTGTATGCCTCGAATGAGAAAGATCTCGGTGTTTTCGTTCAAGACGTGGTAAGTCATTCTTTCAACTGCTCCATGGAATCATCCACTACTGTAAGACATGTTGATTTGCTAAAGCGAGCATTCGGTAAATTCGAACCTTTACTGTTCCCACGTTTGTCATCAGCCCACATTCGACCCCACATGCTATTCACGCGTGGAATACATGAATGCAACGGGATAGTAAGTTTCGGGAATGTGCACAAGGAATGGCCACCGAAATGCTCAAGAGACTTCATACCAACACTTGTGGTTGCACTCCACACAGTATCGCCGAATTCGAGGGGACTTGATTTTGGTGCATCAAATAATACAGCAACCTGATCACTCATATCGTTCACTGTTCGTCCAACACTCATCTTAAGGGACACTCATTAAAATAAGTACTCCAAAACAGTCAACTATAGAATGCCGACATCATTCATTTGCCCTCAGAGTGTGCAGTACGTGGAATTCTGTACCACTTCACGTTATTTCTGCGCCCACAATTGAATATTCTTGAAGCCCAAGCTGGAAGAAACGTTGTCAAGTCCCTGATTTCAACAGTACATGAATCAAAGCAAAAGATGTGACATTCCTCAACCTTCTGTGAACAGTAAATCGATGAGCTTATGCAAGGGACAAAAAGGCAACCGTTTATGTAAGTATTTCCCATAATAGAAGATTGATTTTGAATAAATCAGTTGGTGCAATTTGTCAATGTCGATTTTGCCAACAATTTTACAGCGTTTGATTTTTGTCGGCTATATATATATATATATGAAGTGGATAGGGTACTCAGGTGTACTTTTGATTTCGATAGGTCCTAACTGCAATCAACTTTTACCTGAGTACTTTTAACCACGTACTCAGTTGAGTTGAACGGATTAAAATAAATAAATAAACAAATGTGGCTGATTCCGTTCAACGAAGTCATTTTGTGTGTGTGTGTGTCTGTGTGTACGTGCTAAGTGATGATAGGTTATTTCATCCAAGATTAAGTAAAGTACATGCCGCCAACCTGTTGTACTTTTCTACAGACTTATTTTGATAGATGTGTGACTGATGAGTGATGACACACACGGAACCGTTTTGAACGGTGGTTCCAAATCAGTTGTTCAACGGGAAACTGCCCCTTTCTGTTCTCTCTTTAACATCAAGTTGCGGCACTCGAGTTTTCGATTTGTGATAGATGCTTAGTGCTCAACCATTTGCGTAAGCCAGCCTCGGTTGGACTACTCAATCAAACCAGGTCCTCGAGACAAAAGACCAATGTAGGGCAACTGATAAAAGACGAATTTTGATAGATGACAATCACACCCGATAGTGAGAGAGTGACATGAACAACCAGCCATCCTGTGGAATGAATTCGGAAACCACTGGCCAAACTCACGGGTATTTGTAAATGCATTTCATAGATAGATCGTTCTTGGAACGCCCGGTTCTCTGACGCATCCAACCAATCCATGATACTGCGAATTGTGTGAATCACCTACGGGTGAGAATGAGAAATATGGATCAAATAAGTCCCTTGATTTTGTGAAGAGCCTGTCTGTCTCGTTCAACAACTGTCCAGTATATCATACTGGCTTTCTGATCTATCAATAATGACTTTCAGCAAATTTGGATAGGACGGTGGATTTTGCTTTCTTTCAATGACTAGGCAACTATACAATTTTCAGGTGGGATAGGGTAGCGGGAACAGCCAGGAAAACATTTCGGATTTGGACGTGTCATCACTCGTTAGGGTCACGGGGTCATGGGAAAGGTCATGTCTATCTCGGGGGTGTGTCTATGTAAATTGCTTGTCCATGCCTCGTCCATGATCACCTATTCGTTTCTTTGCTCATGTTCGGCCAGATATGTAGGAAGAATGACCAGGCAATTGTCCCAAAGAATCAATGAACACGAACCGGTCTGTTTGCGTTCAGGCACAAAAAAAAACGATTTCAAGTACAATTGTAGCCCATCTTGCCGATACCGGGCGTCAGGTTGATGATGACGCATTTCAAATCATCTATCGGGTAACACCAAACCCTTCGAAAGCCGCTCGTCAACGTCATCTCGTAACAGCCGAAACCGTGGCTATTGGATTATTAAACCCATCTCTTTGTTCTCAAAAGCGAGTCGTATAATCAGTCAGACTGCCTTGGCCACAACGTGACACATACCGCCAAGATGGAAATGAAATCCTTCTCTTGACCCCGCGACTCTAACACGTGATGACACGTCCAAATCCGAATTGTTTTCCTAACCGTCGTGTTACGATCACATCCAATCCCATCCCACCCCTTTCCCAGCCACACACCAAAACCAATCACAAACCACGAATCACACAGAACCACTGACGAACATTTTCATTTCGATTTGACTATATATAGCTGTATTAGCCCGAAGAAGAAGTTGTCGAAAACGAGCTTGTTCGCTAAAACCACCGCATTTAATCTAAAACACCAAAAGAAAAACAAATTTTGGATTGCGCAATATTCAGTCACCTCAGTGAGATTTGAACCCTCACTCATGCAGACTGCCAAAACCTTTGAAAATTTCACACCCTTAAAGCTGAGCTCCAAGGGCTAACAGCCACTCGGGTGCTGACAATTTTCAAAGATTTAATCATTCCTAATCCCAAAGCGATCTCTACCATCACTGCTGCTGCGGCCCCCTCTTGACATACCCAACTCTCTCTTTGTGTGTTGCCCTTCAAATGACCGGTTCCTCTCCCCTGAAAATTGTACATTGTTGTACATTGAATTAAAACGAAGCATAAACGAAATGTGTAGCACATACACATTAACCCCACCGTTCCATGATTGTGTGCACTGTGTTCTCCAAATCAGCATGCCCGGTTTTGATCTAATTTGAACTATGGTACAGAAAGGCAATCTAAATGCTCCTGGTTGCATTAGACTATTCTTTGATGCGCCAGCAGAAAAGTATGAAACAAACAATCCATAAACTGCAATCACTGTACCCCAAAACGAGATCCGGCTGGAATGAACGCGGGTTGTACTTAGTCATTGTTGATTCAATAACACTTGGAATTGGATAATTTAAACCGCAGCTAGTCATTCAAAATACGGCACCAAAAAAACCTTGTCAGTTAGAAATAACAAATAAAATGATTTTAATCAAAAACTCTTGCGAAAGCTCCTAGAGTTTGACAGTAAATCGTGTAAAACAAATAAAGCTGATTACATTCATCTCTATAACGGCATTGCCCAATGGCGTAATGCGTGATTCATTAAGGGTCATAATAAATCCCGTTCTCCCTACTTCACCCCCAGATAGTCTAATTTTGTCAGTGGAAACTTTACGAAATAATCACGAGGTGTCAGCGCTATCACCCTTGTACCTGCTTCATTTCGATCGTCGGCTTATGATCGCGGAAGCTAATCCAGCTGATTTAAAAACTGCAGCATGAACCCTCTTGAAAGATAACTAAATCGGTTGGTACTGAACGGGAGAATCAGCATCCATTCAGTATGGGTTAAAGTAATTGTTCTGTTTGAACTTAATCAATCACGGCTGTGCACTACACACTTTATCCTTGAGCTTTATTATGGCTTATATAACCCGGATGGTTCTGTATTTGCATCCACTTCAAACCGTTTCAGACAGATCAATAACTGCCTCGTTTTTCCCTGTTCCATCTTGTTAGCTCCGTCTGGACAAAATATTCTGTGAAGTGGAGAGCGAGAAGAGAAAAGAAAGTGTTAAAACATTTTGTCCACCAATATGGGTTGTGGTTGCATCCATTTATCTCTATCTACCGTCGCACATTTCTCTAACCCTCCACTGTTTTTTTACGTGAATAAATTTTTCAAATAGTTGTTTGGCAGATTTGAGGTTTGTATGTCGATTGTGAAAAGTTCAGTAGCGAATAAATTTGTTGGATGGACCGGTTCACTTTAATTGCATATTTTTCAGGCAGCGGTGTTTGAAATCCTATATGCCCAGGTGCTTTGTTTGCTTGCGAGAGCTTGCCTGAGTCCCCCCGACCCCCTACTTGACTACTCACCAACGAGAAACACATTGCTATTTGTACAGTAAAAAGAGGCCTCGTGCGTACACTGTTTGGCCGAGCTAGGAGTCTGTGCACTTCGGATAATGTGGAAAGTGAGTTAATTCGGCTCACGGAAGCTCTGAAGCTCAATGGCTGCCCAGCAGAGTTCATACAATTGGATATCGAAAAAGCCAAGCCCAAACTCTCGGAGATGATAGTAAGAAAATGCAACGTAAACTCCCTTTCAAAGTTGATGGTGTAGACCAATTAATATGCAGACAACTGGTGGCGACTGTAGCTCACACGTATCTTGTTGCAAATCCGGTCGTTCGCTCCACCACAACCCATATTCCGAAGCCCTTGGTGAAAGCACCGCTCCCTCTGTCCGCCAAATCGCATATAATCTATGAATTTCAATGTGGTTTTGGAGCTGCCTACGTGGGCAGAACAGAGAGTCAGCTGCGTAGCCGAGTGGCTAAACACATACCGGTATGGGTCGAATGCGAGCGGGTGAGATTAAACGCCACAAACAACCAGGCCATCAAGCCAGTCCCACAGAGCATTTGCGTCATAAATTGCTCGCCATCCGCCGCAGACTGAACACCAAACTGATCGTGGGACTTCGTTTCGGATTATTTACACAACCCCGAATGGACGGCTGCTAGGATTTGCAGAGGCCATGGCCATCAAGCGCCAAAAGCCCCTACTGTGTCAGTAGAAGGAGGTCTATATCAGTCTGGCGTAGCCCTAGTGACCACGTAAGCGGAAGAATGAACTGATACCCTGTTAGATTCTCATGACCTGTGATATATAAACTAATTTGTTTCTGCAGTAAGCGCCCGTTCAGATGCAGCAAAATGATTCCAGGATTAAATTGTGCTCGCTTGCAGTGTTGTATTCTTTGTTCAAATTTGTGAGACTGTCAAATTCAACTATCCGATTGGAACCCGAAAGGATCTGGTACCAATGCTATAGTGAAAATATGACCCAGTTCGTTGCCTGTGTGACGGAACTCATAACCTTTGTATTTTACACCTGGGAAAATCTGGGATTCCTCGCCGGTTACACCTCGTTCGTATTTTTCTTTCGATTAATTCCGCTCATTCACTTCGAAGTTCCCTTTCGTGTCTGGGAGTAAACTTGGCTGGCTGATAGACATATTGACCAGTGATTTGGTTTGAAGCACTCCTTTTGTGGTCGTCGTTTATTTAAACCTAATAAGATACGATGCGTTCGATACAGTAGCCACATGACCGCTTTGGACCAGGTACACAGCACCACCATCTGCTTTGCCACACTGCGTTCGCGTCCGAATTTCTCAGTTGGCGCCCCAAAAATCGGCGTCTATTGAGTCGAATGTGGTTAGGTTTCTGGGTCGAAATTGTACATTAAATCTCATCACGATTGATGAACTTCCGAACTGCATTGGACCGTCCACCATCAAACCTGGCTAGCATCATGCGGCGCTAATTAATTCGAACTGCTTTCTGCTCCTTACTGAGCGGATGGGGTACCCTGTTTGTGTAAACCGTTCCGAAACCCAGCTGCTCATGTAGGATGGTGCGGATTGATACTAAAGTGATCCCAATAGCTTTCGCCAGTTGATCCACTGTGACCAATGCGTTCTCTTCCACCATCGTTTGTACAGCAGCAATTTTGTCCATAGGTTGGCCAAAGTGAGTTTCATTATCCAGGGACCGACTGTCACGCTCGAATTTCGCAAAACCCTCAAACACAGTACTTCCTGAAGGCTCATCATCACCAAAGGTAGCTCGGAAACGATCAATACTCCGATGTTATTGCTTTAACCTACATTTGTAGTCGTAGAAAATCATCGCCCTCCAGTCCCATCGACCAAGTTCCACCCTTACAGTCTGAGTATATAAAGATTCTCGTATGGCTTGTGAGCCTAGTTCGGCTGTGTTGATATTTGGTTTTCTATGAGTTGTAATCATTGAATAGTAGATGACAGTATACGTTTCTCTTTTCCCGCTCATCTGCATCTCGTATTCTTTGTGAACACTGCGCGTATCCAGAACCGTTTTGCTCAGCCTTTCGTATAGCGCAACTCAAGGGTCATTGATTTGTACACTGTTTCTCCTCGGTTGCGTTATCACTGTATTTTTTAACTTAATAAAATATTATTATGAATGAAATGTGTACAATTCTGTTCATTTTGTTCCGATTTCATTTGTCGGAACTATTTCCAATTATTGAAAGATTTACTTTCAAAGATAGAATCACTCAAACCACACACAAAGTAAAAAATAACATCAAAAACCCGATGACCAGTGATGGATCAATCAGTGTACACTCATTACAAAATAGTTTGCTCATCGTGGGGTTCATCTATTCAAGAACATCGAAAGAAGAGGCAGATTACGATATTGAAACTAAAACAAACCGAACGTGTCATTCGCACCTAACAAAAACTGATTGGGCAAGAATATTCAGTGAAGTTCGGTATGTTACAGCATCATTGTTAGGCCCGATTCACATAACATCACGATAATGATATGTTCCTGGAGTGCAGTGTTATAACACAATGTGTCACTCAGAAGCACCAGACTCGAGTTTCGCTCTTATTACAGCTAATCAGTAGTGCATATCCACCGTCCGGGATTTGAACTCCGGGACCGATCGCACGAAAGGCGTGCGTTACCACTGTGCCAACCGGCTCATGCCATGGCTCAACCGAATTGCCGACTCATGCTTGTTCAGGCGTCGTCTTCAGTGATAGTCAGTTCATTTGGCCCGACAGCAACAAAGGGAGACACTGAAGACAATCTGTTAACTCCAATCGAAAGCCACCCACTAAGCCATGCAGGAACGGACTGATTCGCCAGCGAACCTACAAGGATGGATTGATATTTAGCATTTGACTCACAATTACTTGTGAGTAGTGGTCAGCTCAAATCAATAAAAACCAACTGTCCCACACCACTAATGACAAGTAATTGTGAGTCAAATGCTAAACGCCAATCATCAATGCCAGATCTCCGGGTGGAATTGTTTTTACAACAACCTAACCGAGTCTCTTGTATGCTAGCGATACGATCTCACTGTTCGTTATTCAACCGTTTCCGAGAATGTGATCGAACTACCATTTTTCAACTCTAAAATCCATTTCTTGTCCCATGACCCATGAAGTGAATAAACCCCACATGTGCATTTACTCCACTATTGCTCATGAGCTTCAACTGCTCAGTTTCCAGGACTCCGATCGTTATCGTAATATCAAACAGCCTGTTGAGAAATGCGTTTGACTGAAAGAACACCTAAGTTCCATTTCGCCTGTTCACCGAGCTTGGCAATTTGTTTGCAAACGTTTCATCACCAGTCGAGGTGATAACAACATCAGTGTTTGTGGAGTGACAGTGTTCTACTTCCACCCGTTCCTTTATATTTGTGTGTTCTTCTCCACTGACTATTAATTTGTCCCTTGTTCTCACTCTGTTCGACTCGGGTCGCCGTTACACTGATCTTAGGGGATGAGCGTCAGAGGGGCTGGGGTTTTCTGTCCGCCCTGATTGCGGTTTCGTTCCGTTCTGAGGTTACGGCGTGACCTTCTTTTGCTGCGTCCTTTAACCCTAGAATTGCATTCGTGTGTACACGTGATCCAATTCGCTGGGCTTGTTTTTGGAGTTGATTGAAGAGATCCTAGCCTCGAGAAATTCTCCGGCGTGTTTTGACCTGGCTGGGTCGATAATTTTCACTGATTCAAAGTCAAACTGACATCTTTCTTGATCTTCGTGGAGGGAAACCAACGATGGTGGGTCATGTCTCCTGACTTCCGATTCGTGTTCACAGATCCTTATTGACAGTTTTCTTTCAGTTTGTCCGATATGGTGTTTTGAGCAGTTCGTACACTTTATTTTGTAGATAACATTGCTCTTGTCCCTCTTCATTGTTCTCCTTCGTTTTTGGCAGAAGTTTACGAGTCGAACAGAGTGAGAACAAGGGACAAAATAATGGTCGATGGAGAAGAACACATAGATAAACGCAAGGGATACAAGCAGAACACTGTCACTTCACAAGCACTGATGATTTTATCACCTCGACTGGTGATGATGAAACGTTTGTAAACAAATGACCAAGCTCTCAGCAAACAAGCGAAAAGGGATTCATTTCACCCGAGTTACGAGAACCGATTTTCAATAATTTGTCAACATCACAAACTGTAGAGAGTAAAAACGAAACCGCTTCAGTCTGCTCACACACTCACTCACTTTGCTCATGGAAAACAGATTGTCCAGTTGGTAGAAGAATGCAAACAGTATATCGGATGGAATGGGATTTTTGTAGAATAGAATTCCACATCTGGCGAACTGGGAAGTAGATGAGGGAGAGAGAGAGAGACGGGGAGAAAGGTATCGATTCATCTTAGTTGCCTTCAATGTATAGGGAAAAAAATCAGTGCAGAATTGCTTCATCACGTTGTCCAATAACCTTAATCGAACATGGCAATCTAGAATTGCAACCATGAATAATGTGCGAGAAGGTGTTTTTCAATTTGCCGACAGTCAAACCTGGTCGTTAGTTTTCTTACTGTTGTGAGTGGTATGTTTGAACTGTATAAAAGAACGTGGTTGGCAGTTTCTCCCAATGGTACAAGAATGAACAATATCTTTCGGAGCCAATGACTGTGCTCAAAATGATAACTAAGAAAAGTGCGCATCTATCACCGGACCGTTTCATTACTTATTCCGTGTGCTTTTGGGGATTAGGATGACCTGTTCCAAATGAGACAATCTGTTGCATGCATGCCGATTTACTGAGATTGTAACCGTAGTTCGGTATGATTAAATCTCCTCGTTCCGGTACTCCCCCGGGTTGAATTATAACACCGGCACCGAGGAGAACGGATCAGTTTGCATTGGATCAATCAAATAACCGCCAAGTCTACACGTGCTATTCTACAGTTGACTCAAATCTCAAACACTTGCAGTGTGAGACTGAGCTGAGACGGTAAAGTGTCTGAGATCATCGAAATGGCAACTTGCGGATCCGGAGTTTGAATCATGCAACAGCCACTCACCTTCCCCTCAGTTCTGATTTCAATCAGGTAGAATTTGTATTGCCGTGGTCCCCTTCTCGAAAAGGGAACAGATCTGTACGGACGGTCAAATCCATACCCTCAAGCCGCCAAAGCCTTTAAATAGGAATGAACAGAGAATGCATTCTCACTGTTCGTTGCTATCAGGTATTATTACTAACTGACCATAGTTTCGAATAAGCACGATGTGGGCTGATAACGCGGCGTATCTCATACGAGGGTCACTACTATGTATGGTTGACTTTATGCACATATGGATGGCCATTACCTTACTTAGCAAGCAAAAGTGATGATTTACTGGAAACGCAGATGCTCACCTCACGCAACTGGTTTATATTTTTGTGCCGATGATTCGCGAGCACGCAATGTCGGGGAGGTGAAAGTGAAACCGCCAGTATAATGTAAGTATCACAAGTATGAAGCACCATTCATCCATTAAAACTAGGATAAACATGAATCTCAAGGCTTAGGCTATTTTCTGGCTCTCAGTTTCACCGAAATTCATAAATTTCAGAGCAATGAAGCATTTGATTTGCTTAGATCACGAATTCATCGTGTAAATGAGGCCGGAACTAAATAGTTAGGAAGCGTTGGACACTTGTTTCGATCTGGTTGGGTTTCATCAAGATTGAACGAACCCATCAACCCGACTGGGGATTGCGAACCCGGGACCTCGTAGGTAGAACGCAAGCATGCTGCCCATTTAGCCATCGGGTAGCTGATCAGACCGTTTCTCACTTTGAAGATACACGATAGAGAACAACCTCAACACTAGTCTCTGGAATGGTGACTGGGTTGGAAACTTTCACAACCTGACTACTATGAGAGGAATGGAGAATTTGATTTCATCTCACCTATCATTTGCACGACGAATTCATCACCTAATTGATCATTTTGTCAACCAACCGAAGAGAACACATCAGGTGATACGCGACTTGTTTTTAATTGTATTTGAAAAAGACTCGAATAGGCTTATAAAACGGAGCGTTTCAAACGGATTGTTCTAACTGTTACTTACCAGGCTTTCCCAGTTGGTTACTACAGGTACACATGCATAAATAATAACAATCGCAACAGTATCTGTATGCACCACAATAGATTGCAGTACACACGAACCTACGCACGAAGACTTAAATTCCACAACGAACTTTGCCTACTGGATCGAATTGGTACTGCTACTACAACTGCGTTAAATCATGCCTCCAAATTGAAGTATTACAGAAAATGTTGAGTCTCGCATGCTTCGTATCGGCAGTTCCGACGCAATGCCAACCGACCTTGAGGAGAAGATGCAATCTGTTTTTGTTTAAATACCAAAAAAATCAATCTTTTAAAATAGGTTCAACGTGACACTACACCGCGTCAGTCGTGAAGCTGAGGTGTACCGCGTCGGATTTTGAGCCTTCGCCAAATCTGACTGAATCATCTCTATGCACAAACAAATACTCGCGAGCTATGTAGAGGCATACTCATAAGCAATCCGTTCACAAAGCGTCTGCATACACATATGGTCTCAAACCAGACCTGTCTTTGTTCAGATCAATACGTGACAGTCGAGACACAAACACCTCGATACTTACTGTCCACCACATGTCAATGCGTTTCTTTTTTCAGAAACCATCAAAGACTGATATCATGATGGTGTGGTAAGCAAACGGGGGCGAAAAATGCAAATCACAATGACGCATTCGATTCTACTCCAAGCGCAAAGCTAACTATGTAATTTTGTGGTAGTTCTTGTTAAATTTGCGTGCACCAAATAGATGTGTTTCATCCCGTGGTGTTCTATTTCGATTTTGCCTCAGCTAACACGCGTTTGTGCCAATTGGTTGACTAAAGTACTCTTCAACCTGTCATCCGAAACTTCTTTTGTCGCTACCGCAGATTAATTGGATTGAAGTTTGTTGTAAAAACTGTTAGATTGGACTATGGTCAGGAGTCACATGACGTGAAATTCGACAAGATCTGAGTCATTTTTGTTTGTGTATAACTATATATAGATATATGTATATATATATATATATATATAAACAACGGATCATCACTCCTTTGCTGTGCTTTTCTATAACGTACTAAAAACACAAGATCACGTGATCACAAAAAATGAATGACTTTTAAACTATTGCGCACAAGCATAAACACACAAATATCGGGGAAACGATGATTGGGAAACTCACAATTTCCTCATCCGAAGGACGAATGTACTCGAGCCCGGAGTACCACAAACTCTCACAGTAGCGTCTCAGAGTGTCCTGTAAATCGATAAACAGTCCACAATTCTGTATCAAGTTTCTCAACAATAATAATATTATTATTAATAATATCGTATCTATCTTTGCTCATTCGAGAACTTGTAAAACAGATATCTGCGGTCAACAAGCTGTGATTCATTAGAGTATAAGTTTCGGCACAAAAGAACCACACTGGTAAACATATTCATGAAAGTTATATGCTATAGATGTGGTGAATTTCCATTGTGGTCTCGCTTGAGTAGCAGTCAGAATTCTGTGGGATGAAAACTGATGATTACAACATTTACGAATTCGTTGCAAGTGTTTCGAATCAAAGATTAAATAACGGTTACTTGATCTTTGGAAGGCCGGCAAAACTTGCTTCCACATGAACGGGAACTCATGAATTATATATAATAATTAAGACAGCTATCGTATAGTAACATCCCTAAAAAGGCTTGCTTAAAAAAGAGAATCAATCGTATCCTCTCCATGTGAAAATGGAGCCCAAATTTCATCTGCTGGTTGAACTAATGGCCGAGATTCTCAAAGGAACCATACCATTCTTAAACTCTGCTATGAATTGAACATTCTCAGTTGGAAACACTTTGTCTACTTGATCCGTTGCATTAGGACACAATTGGGACATGCTGCCATTTTGTTTAATCGTCTCAATCGATGGCGTAAAACAAACAGCATACTGGGCTAGTAAACCCCAGTGAATGAACCTGTACGGATAACCGCCAGGAGGTATTAATAATTTTAAAAATAACAATAGGTGATAAGGTATTTCCCAAATTGATGACCCCGGATTGTATGCAAACGCCTGAATACGGAGTGTGGGTTGCGTCGTCGATTTCATCATCCACTTCGGAATATGTCCGGCCATTGGTTGTGATAATTGCCGGTTGACCCGGTCCATGTGTGTCAATGCAACTGCAAGTGAATTGGTATTTAGTGTGTGTGAGACAGAACTGGATTGCCAACCATGTACGCGTTTGTCCAAATCAATTCTACCACTAGAGGCAATAAGTCGAAGTCGAGCAACTGGGAATGTGCGGTTCAGAGCTGACTTTAACTTTTGGCGCACATAGTTCATAAGATGATCTCTCTTGAAAGATAATTTGATATAGACCGCTTTATGGAAACAGTTAGAGACGGGTAACCTTTTTGAGACTATTTACTATGGATATCAAAAGCACGTGTATAACCGTTTCGTAGCAGCGTTTTAATTGGGAACCCTTCTTCCTCTTCCAGTGTGTCTTGGTAACAATTTTTTTTGGCTCAATGGAACAGAGCTTTTATATGTCCACCTTTGTTTGGTTTGCACCGAATAACCTTCGGACTTTACCTTCATGCATAATCCTCAGTTCATCCAATCAACCGAACACTCGGAAGCATTAGACTCGAGTTTCGCTCTTATTTGAGCTCATCATTAGTGCATATCCACGGTCCCGTCCGAGATTTGAACTCTGTATCCCTCAACTGGAAGCTTTGTGTGTTACCACTGTGCCAAGGACCTCATATCATGGACGAACCGAATTGCCAATTCATCTTTGTTCAGATGTCGTCTTCAGTGATAGTCAGTTCATTTGGCCCGACAGCAACAAAGGGAGACACTGAGGACAATCTGTTAACTCCAATCGAAAGACGGTGGATATGCACTGCTGATGAGCTTTAATAAGAGCGAAATTCGATCCTAGTGCTTCCGAGTGTATGGTTGAATTGATGAACTGAAGATTGTTCCTCAAGGTGAAGTCCGAAGGATAGTCAGTTCAAACTAATCAATATCAATTATCTCACAGCATTACTCAGAAGTAAATATGAGTTAAATGCAATGAAGTCTACGTTTATAAGCCATGGGCGAGAAGCTAGAGCACTGCAACTTCTTATCGTTCAACCTTCCGTTTGGATCAACAACCATCTGAACGCCTTATACTTTCAACATCAATTTGGTTGGTTTTGTTTTCAGTTCTACAGGTGCATATCCACTTTTACAATTGGACCTCGTTTATTTCGGACCTCTGGATAAAATCGTCAC